CATAGCATCAAAATCACATAAACACGACATTAAAAAATCCTCAATATCAATTCCAAAGACTTAACCTTCGATAAAACATAAAGCACATTGTCCGAGGTCCAACTCGATCTTATTAACGAACATAGACAACCATAAAATCTTTTGTACTTTCACTTGTTTTTATTACGTGTCTTACATGAAATATTGAGCGAATTAAATTTCAGTCCAGGCTCAGGAAATTATACAGTTCTCAGTTCTTGAAAGAAGAGGCTAAAAACAAGCTCGGCTCTCGAGCTTGAAAAGGGTTCAGTTTTCTCGGCTCGATGCTCGGCTCATTCTTCAGATAGAAGAGGGCCCCCGGGGGGTCGCTGGCGATCGCAGTCAGGTCGTGGCTCGTGAAGATGGCTCACAGATGTCAAGGCTCGTGAGGTCTGCGGGTCGCGTTGTTGTCCGGGGTGTTCACTCGCTTGCGGGCTCGCTGGGGTTTATGTGATGAAAAGGGCGAGCAGATGGATGCGGGACTGATCAGCGAAAGGGGTGCCCGCCCGGTTGTTAAATGTCGGAACCTTGACGAGTAGAAGGACTCGCCTGGACTGAAGATAGAGAGACGTACGGTTATATATATCTATACCAAGCTTAGGGTTTTAGGCGGTTTCGAGCATACAGGTTTGGGCCGAGGATAGGGGGCACAGGATTCGAGGCTAACGGGCCTATTCTCGGTCCATTAATTACGATAGACGAGACTCGGTTGATCGTAGGATAATTAAAATAAAACCGAGTAAATATCTACATAATACACGCATTATTTAATTTATTAATAAATAACATTTAGACAATTAATAATTATAATAATACTAATAATAAAATAACAATTTGGCATTTTAGGCACTCAAATTCAAATTAATAATAATAATCCAATATAATAATATTTGAAATTCTTTTCCTCCAGAAACCCTCTATGCTTCATCCTTAATTTCGTTCATCGCGTGCGCCTTCCCCGGCGGATGACCCATAGCTTCAACATCCCGTCTCAATTTTCGCTTACCAGTGCTCCTGCGCCGATGGTGTTTCTCCCATGCCCGTTGGCAGATTTTGCCGCTTACTTGTTGCCAGCGGTGGTCCCGTTTCCTGTTTCTCCGAGTAGAGGCTATAGTGGCTGGTTTCCCTGCTCGTTGGATGGCTTCTTCTCAGCTCGGTCTCAAGTGGAGACTTGTCCGCTGTGCGCCGGGTTCGTGGTGGATGGCTTCAAGGAGGTGAGTGGTTATGGTTGGGATTGGGTGCGACCCCGGTGGCTTGGCTCGTTTGAGTCATGGTGGCCGGGGTTAAGGTGAATTGGTTCGTGCCCCTGTGTCCTCTTTGCTGGTTCTGTGGAATCGGATGTCCGACATGCCCGGATTCTGACTGGTGTTTCTGGTCGGGTCTCGGGAAGCGGGTCTGTGGGTTGGGGCCTTTCGATCCTCCCGGGCTTTGGGTCGGCTACATCCTTGGAGTGGTTCGAGGCTCGGGACTCATCATTTGCTAGGCTTTAGGCAGTGGCGGGTGTGGTGTTCCGGATTTCGCGTCAAGCTATTAGGTGTTGGTCCTGATTTCGCTGGTGCCTTGTGCTGGGTTCGGTTATCTTGCTGGGGAAGGGCTTTGTATGTCTTTTGTGTAGGTTTTTATTTATTGTTCTCTTGGTTTGTGTTTTTGGTTTGAGGCATTAGCCTTTGTGCGCCCAAGTGTCACTTTGTACGCCCGAGTGTCACCTTATTACCCTTTGGGGTCCGACACTCGGGTATTACTCTGTTGGGGTCTGACACTCGGGTAGTTGTTTTAGTCGTTTTAGTCGTTTGTGTTGTTAGTAAGTTTAGTTGCAAGTTTTTTTTTTATTCTAGCATTGGAAGCGGGGTTTCTAGGCGGTCTACTGACCTGTCCTCCCACTTTTTCAGCTGTTGGCTGTTGTGTATTCAGCCGTTGGCTGCTGTGTGTTCGCACTTCTGCGCATTTTGATTTATAATATTGATATAGCCCTATTAAGGTATACTGATCCGAAGGCTCTCTCTTCGACTTAAAGGTTATCAGCTCCGCCCGCGGATCGACTCGGGTCGAGAAGATGTTTAAGTCGACTTCGTTCAAAGTCGATCCGGCCTTAACGCGGAGTATCGGAAAAGTAGACCCTGAACAGGTCGACTCATAAGGGTCGACTTGAGTCAGTCAGTTGACTTCTTAGAAGTTGACATATATTCGAGAATCTACAGGAACATGACCTCCGAACAGTGGGAACCTGAGTTGGTAAAGGGGTACCCGAGGTCGACGCCCCATATCTCGAGGCATATATCATGCAGTCGACTCCATACACTTTGCGCACTCGTTAGAACCCCTTGTCCACCTATGGATAAGAAGGAATCTGGGGGGTGACTCAGCAAGGAAGGGAGATGAATCGACCGGGGCAATTTGGACTTTTTAGGACCACCGACTTAGGGCATTTTGGGCATCTCAGGTAAATTCTCCCTCCTATATAAAGGAGAAGAGGTAGCCCTAAACCCTAACTCTCATTCATTCCATACTCTTCTCATTATTGCTGTTGCTCTCCCAGAGCAGCTCTCTCCATCTCTTTCACATACTAACTTCAGCGTCGGAGGCTCTACGCCGGAAACCCCTCCGGCGTTGAGTTCTTGCAGGATTTCTCGCTGTCCAGTAGCAGTTTGAAGGTGATAACGACAGATCTGAGTCCATTCTCATCAGTTTGTTCTAGATCTGAGCCCATTTCCATCCAGATCTTGGAAGAGACCCATCATTTTGGCGCCGTCTGTGGGGAGTTCTTGAAGGAATTAAGAGCTTCGCACCTAGCTCCGATCTGTCTCCGATGGCCGAGAAGGAAGGTTTGCAGAGGAATTTGAACGAGGAATTTAGGGGAGCCTGGACGGACAAGAGACCGCCCTCTCTCTCCGCT